TAAATTTCGTGCCAAACACTCCAAGAAACATTAGAATGCGTCACACCGACATTCGAATGTAATAAAAAGAAGATTAATATAACTAAAGACTAGGCTTTATGGGGATTGTTCCCTTTGCCTTCCCTGAAAAGGGAGAATTTTAAATAATATTGACGTTTCATTATACATAACGTTGAAATTATATACGCATACAATTTAGGTAAAGTTGAGATTTCTTATACTCAAAAAATGTATACACACATTTAATATGAATGGAATTCATAAAATATCATTTTGTTGCTTGTAAAATTCTGCTCTAATTTATTATTTATTTATATAGACTATGATGTTAACTTAATCGAGAAAAACGGAACGCATTCGGCAGTGAAAGAATATCTACGATAGATTTAATATCATTGGAATATCGAAAATCCACGAGAATAGCATTTTTTACCATCAGTAGATATTTTCAATAGATATCCCTACTTTCGATATTATCTCGAAGCCGATATAATATCTACGCCGCGAGAATTGGGCCCCAGGGATTAGTAAACGGGTGATATTTTCTTATCTTTAAACGGTGACAGTTTTGACGGATATAGAAAACGAATCATTTTGTCCACACCTTGATAAGGACTTCTTTCACTATATTTACCTTTTTATTGTTTGTCTTTATGGCGGTAATAAAAATGCAACAATTCCTACACGAACAAAGAAATTTCATCTATTTGTCGTACTATTCGTAAGTGGAATTCTTTGCGAGGTGTAAAGAAGCATTTTTGCAGGCCGAAAAGGTGAGAATGTTTGATGTGGCAGTTTATGACTGCTGTACCAGCTATCTTCGCGTTTTGACTATCACCACTTAACATCAGGTGTGGTAGTCATTTGCCTACCTGGCTATAAAAAAAATGTATATTCTTTAAATTTTATAACTATGTTTGTTATTGTTCATGAGATATAATAATAAGCATGCTAACAAACGGACGGAAATATTAACGATATACTACTACCCTTAGTACCCTGGGTACAGAACGAAAAGGAACATGAGTGGTTTCATAGTTTACATTCAATTATTAAGAAAAATATCTACTTTAAATCCGCGTTGTTTCATCCTTATAGTTAAACTAGCGGCCCGCCCTCGCTTCGCTTCGGTGTAGAGCTGAAGTGTAGACTACAGTTTTTGTTCTCAGTCTTGTATTATACACAATGACATTCATCTATGATTCTTCTTATACCTGCATGCAAAGTCTCAGCCCGATCGGTTTAAAATTGACAAAGTTTCATACAAACTTTCATTCCCTATTTTATCCCCTTGGGGGTAGAATTGATCAAAATCCTTTCTTAGCGGATGCCTACGTCATAACATCTACCTGCAGGCTAAATTTCAGCCCGATCCGTCCAGTGGTTTGGGCTGTGCGTTGATAGATCGCTATGTCAGTCAGTCACCTTTGAGTTTTATATATATAGATTTGACTAAGAGTCATTGTCACGTCAAACTCATAGTAAATGTGTCAAAAGTTCTCTAGCATTTTAACCTTAGTAAAATTAAACAACTAGCTGACTAGCTGTCTCATCTTTGGCAAGCTTATCTTTTACGAGGATGAAGTTATATGTTCTTACTAAAGGTATATCTGAAGGAAAGAAAACAGACGTAAAATATTTGCAGTACGAGCGGAAAATTTTCATCGACCAAATGCTTGAGGAGAAATAAAGGTCGCACAGAATTGATGAAAATCTCAAAACTCAACGCTCGTTCGTTCGCAGTCCCACGATTGTTGTTGATGCACATATTTGTAAATCCGTGTCACGATGTTTGTTCTGGCTAAACACCAACATATTTATTTGTTTCTTAGGTTTTCACGCTCATCACTCATTAAATAAAACTAGTTTTTACGGGTTAATGCACGAAAACTTTATTTATTTATTGACGTTTCGCAGCCTTTTCAGGTCTGCATCGTCAGAATAATGATTTTATTTAAAATTGTCGAGCTACCTTCGAAAGAATTATTAATTTTTTCTTTCGAAGGTAACTCGACAATTTTAAATAAAATCATTATTCTGACGATGCAGACCTGAAAAGGCTGCGAAACGTCAATAAATAAATAAAGTTTTCGTGCACCAACATATTTATCATCATCATCATCAACCCATGTTCGTCCACTGCTGGACATAAGGTCTCCCCTAATGCACGCCACTGCTCCCGATTTTGCCTCACCGAATTAGCAAACTGAAGTGGCAGTGGGCTGGTTACATTAGCCGCAGAACTGATGGCCGTTGGAGCCGGAAAGTTCTTGAGTGGAGACCGCGACTCGGTAAACGTAGTGTAGGACGCCCTGAGACAAGATGGGCTGATGATATTCGTAGGCTGGCTGGAGTGGGCTGGATGAGAGTAACATATTTATACTTATGTTTTTATTTATTTTTTAAGCATTTAACTACTAGATGTTTAAATCTAAAGAAAAGTTTACTAGAAAAAAATCCACGCGGACCAGGCAGCGGACGGGACTCGAACCCGCATCCTTCGCTATCCGGGCGAATGCACTGACCATTATGCTACCACGGCCCTATTAGCCGCGTCGAATTTTTCCTAGCCTTAATCTGCAAGGCAGCGCCATCTCTTCGCATTGTAGGTAACCCACAATGTCAAATGAATACTTTTTCAAGTATTAAACATTTGAAAGAAGAAATAGCAATTATAGTTATGATTTTATTTATTTTTTAAGCATTTAACTGCTAGATGTTTAAATCTAAAGAAAAGTTTACTAGAAAAAAATTTTTTTTTAGCGGATAGCGAAGGATGCATGTTCGAGTCCCGTCCGCTGCCTGGTCCGCGTGGATTTTTTTTTTCTAGTAAACTTTTCTTTATATTTATACTTTATGAAATTTCGGCCGTCTCCATGTAATTTGATTCACTGTGTGCAATTTTGACCAAAGGATAGATTTTATCTCAAATATTGGGCCTCATTCATAGTATTATGGATCACAATGAGTATCTTGTGCAATGTTGCCAGGTCCGATTTTTAAAAATCGGGAGAGGTTATAGAAAAGAGCAGTAGATGTATGGAATGAGCTACAAGAAAAAACAGTACACGCAGAGGCGTACTTTTTCTGATTTGCACATCGCCCCCCTCTCCAGAATCGTATTATACTAATTTTTTAGACAATAACATTTATTTTATTAGGTTACCTACATTATTCATGGCGGATAATGCAACTTGACATGCAATTTACAAAAGAATATCGTATTCTATTAAGAAAAACAGGAGATCTTCTGTAAATTCGGGAGACCTGGCAACACTGATCTTGTGTAGCAAACAGTCATTCATCATATCGCCCGCCTGACATTAAGTGTCGCCGCACACGGGCCACACGCCACAGCCACAAACGCCGCCACGAGAAGCTAGAAGCTGCTACTAAAGTGGCTGAAGCGCGCGACAGCCGACTAAGGTAAGGGAAAGAGGGGTGGGGAATCGCACGAGTGATGTGTGGCGGCGTTTTGAGTGATCGGTGCGGGCCACAAGAAGCGAGCGACGATTTGTGGCGTAAGGCGGCCACCGGCGTACCGCGTGTGGCGTGTCCATATAAAATGTATGAAAACTACATGAAATATGCCTGTAGCGGCGTTTTATGGTTGTGGTCGGTGGCCCGTGTGCGGCGACACTAAGCTGTTGCCACAGTCTTACGTTGACTAAAATACTAAATGGACTGCTGCCAAAAAGTCCTAACACTTCGATATACAAAGAAGCAGCTCATAACTCTCCAACTTTGATTTTAGGGTCCATTGTGAAAGTCTAGGTCTGATTACATGGCGTCTTGAAAATCTTGATCAGTTACAATAAGAAAACATCATCATCATCATCATTAGCCAATTAATGTGCCCACTGCTAGGGCACAGGCCTTCCCTATGGATGGAATAGGCAGATTGGGCCATGACCCACCACGCGGGTCCAGTGCGGATTGGTGGGTGCTAACGACTGCAGATGCAGCCGGGACCAACGGCTTAACGTGCCTTCCGAAGCACGGAGGAGCTCAAGATAGTAAATTTTTGGTCACCCATCCAATGACCGACCACTGCGAAAGTTGCTTAACTTAAACAATCGCAGTCGAACGCGCTAACCAGTTGCGCCATCGAGCTCCTCACACACAGTCACAGTCTTACGTTGCCTAAAATACCAAACGCACTGCTGCCAAAAAGTCCTAACACTTCAATATACTAAGAAGCAGCTCATAACTCTCCAACTTTAATTCCAGGGCCCTTTGTGAAAGTCTGTGGTCAGGGTAGGTCTGATTACATGGCGCCTCAAAAAACCTTGATCACTTACAATAAGAAAACATAATACCACCAAAAGGCAATATTTTATAACTATTCCAGCCCAGGCTCAAATCCACTCCACCAGGGGGCCAATCGCCTAACGGGATTGCTATGGCTATCGCTTTCGCTTATCTTTTCATTTTGTTATTTTTGACAGCCATAAGTTTTCAAATGCCCCGCGCTCTTATTTTTCTTTTGTATTGGTAACAACAATATAAAAGTAAAATGAGCATAAGGTATTTGAAAACCTTCGGCGGTCAGAAATAACAAAATAAATTGGTGAGCTATAGCGATAGCCAAAGCAATTCCTATAGGCGATTGACCCCCAGTTGTGTCCTTATGACTAACTAGAGGTCGCCTGCGACTTCGTCTACGTTAACTTAGTTTCTTGAAAATCCCTCTGGAACCTAACATTTTTCGGAATAAAAGTAGCCTATGTGTGAATCTAGGGTGTCAGCTAACTTCATACCAAATTTTATTATAATCGCTCCAGCCGTTTAGACGTGAAGAAGTAACAAACATACACACTCACATACTCACACACTCACAAACTCTCGCACTCACAAACTCTCGCCTTTATAATATTAGTGTGATGCTTTGGTGTTTCTGTAAGAAATTACTTCCTTAGACGGGTCCTTCATCTAACATTTGCTCTACTCTACATCTTTGGTGAATGTAATTAATAAATCTTTATTCTATTTGGTTCCAGCAAATGTGGCAGTGGCGAGGTCTTACCTATCAGCAGCGACGTTAGTAAGCGAGCGAACTCGGGCTGTTGCATCAGTATCATTGGCCCAAGTCCTAGGCTTCGTGGTGGGCCCCGCACTCCAGGCCGCAGTGGCGCCCCTGGGCCCCGGGACCCCCTACCCGCCCTCAGGGGAGTCGGGGCCCCTACTCCGCTTGGACATGTACACAGCCGCTGGGTGGACCAACGCGATATTGGGGCTTGTAAACTTTGTGCTACTGCTGCCTTGGTGTTTCAAAGAACGCACCATAGCCGCTCGCGAAGCAATGCTCGCGCAAGGAAAGAACTCTGGTTAGTAATATTTGTTTCTTAGGTTTTCACGCACATCACTCATTAAATAAAACTAGGGCTAAACTGTATTTCCAGGGCCCAAGTGGTGATACTTCACACTAGGTTAGGTTGGGTTAGTGTTGTGACCACAACGCGCGAGCCGAGCGAGCAAAGAGAGCGTGCCGCGGCAGTCTGTTAAAAAAGACCTTTTCTACAAAAAAAATCAAGTATCACCTTTTGGGCCCTGGAAGTACAGTTTTACGAAAACTAGTTTTAACGGGTTAATGCACGAACTTCATTTATTTACTGACGTTTAGCAGCCTTTTCAGATCTGCATCGTCAGAATAATGATTTTTTATTGTTTTGTCGAGCTACCTTCGAAAGACTTTTATTGAGCGTTCGGCTATTTCATTCACATCATGCACAAAAAAAAATAGCTCGACAAAGAAAATAAAAAAAATGGGTGCGTGTACTTATGTAGGCGCGTGAGAAGTTATCCTTCTTTGGCATCGTTTAAAATTAGTTTTTAATTGCATGCAAATAATTAATTACAATAAATTAATAAAAAGTCTGGAAAAGGACACAGTCAATAAAGTTCAGTTTTAATTTGAAAAAATAAATAAATAATCAGAATATTCAATTAAAATCGCTACTGAATATAATTTATTAGAACATATGTGATTTGCACTTGTATGAAACTCAAACACGTATTCCGAATATACAAACTAGAAACATGTGGATAAATATTATAAATACGAATACCTATAACTGTTACTTTATTACAAAAAATAAAGATGTGGTTTTTTGTTCTACTACACCAATGGTCAAGAGATGGCGCTGTAGTCTCCTGAATCGCGCTTTGGTTCCGTTGTTCCAGATTAATAAATACTTTTGATAGACATCACAATGTAGTCGTTAGCCCCCACTAAATAGAGGTTCTATTTCTATTTTGTTGGTAGATTTTCTTAATGTGCGGTAAACACAAAAGTAACAGCATGAAGTTGGTCGCTAACGTGCGCATCTTAAAATTTCACTCTCATCATTTTTTCATAACGCGCCTAAAGAAGTATAACTTCAACAAACAATTATCTTAGCGACAAAGGCCCACCGGTTACTGGAATTTGATTATTAAAACTTTCCGTTATACTATATAAATTTTTGACGACCTTTGACGACCTCCGTGGCCGAGTGGTTTGTACGCCGGGTTTCATGGTGTCCCCGACTCGAGAGGTCCTGGGTTCGAATCCCGGTGGGGGCAGATGTTTGTGTGATAAATACGAGCATTTTTACTCCAGTCATGGATGTTCAATATCTATTTCTACATAAATATACTTATATTTAAGTACAATATATGTATTCTATCCGTTACCCTAGCATCCCATAACACACAAGCCTTGTAGTGCTTACTTTGGGGCTAGGCTAATTGGTGTGAGTGTTGGAAATATTTATTTATTATTATTTATTTATTTTCTTAGTTCAACACAGCAATGATTGTATACATATTAATAATATATATTTAGATATTTTTGGATCAATTAAGATAAAATTTCGTCTCTTATCGAATAAACGCTAGATTTTTAATTGGATTCTATAATTATTACAGAGAAAGAAGCTTTGAAAGCAATGAAGCCTGATCTCATAAGCAGCTGGACTTTGGTGGCTGCATTCTTCGTGCTAGTCTTCAACTTCGTGTTGCTGGAGACCCTGGCGACTTCTCTCACCATGGACCAGTTCGCTTGGAGCAAGAAGCAAGCCCTGGAGTACATGGGAGCGCTGATGAGCGGTGGAGCGGTGCTCGCTTGTGCTACCTTCGCTCTGATAACGCCACTTACGAAGTTCTTTGAAGAGAGGTATGAGGTGTTGTTTTGTCGTGTTCATTTATTAAACCACAGTCTTCATTAAGGAATCACGCCAATGCTTCTGAAGATATGTTAAGCTCTTGATAGATGCAGTCATCTGATGTTCTGTCCACAGAAAATGCCTGTGTCGAAGCAGTACGAATACAAGTGACAATGATGATGATTGATCAGAACTACATCTTTCGTCTCTTTTTCTTTTTAGTATTAAAGTGAGACATAGGTATAGACTAATAGCGCTTCCGAAGAGGTTCGATCGAAATAAAAAAAACCGTAAAGAATACGCATGGTACCATGCAGGGCTTGAAACCCGTTTCAAAAATACCGGGAAATAAAGGTTAATACCGGTTTTTAGTAAAGGTTTCGTTCGGAGCGCGTCCGAAATGAAAGCGGTACCTAAAACCTTAATATACCGGTTTTATCCAGAGCGACACGTGCACGCGTTGGCAATGTTGAAGTTTGTTTTGTTTGAACTAGTCAACTTGTTAATGATCAGAGATTGATGCATTTATTGACACGTTTGCTAGCGTCTAGTGAGTCAAGTTATTCATTTTGTAGTTGTGTATTTATTTCAGCCATCAGTAAGAGCGAAGTGAAACCCTTAAAAAATCGTGAAATTGATTCAAAACCTGTTTGATTTCGCTTTTTAGGAAAACCGGTTTTTTAAGGTTAAGGTAGAGCCAAACCTATATAAAACGCTGCTAATGTACTTGACACTGATTTAGGTTTGAAAATTAACCGGTAAACAAGCCCTGGTACCATGTATGGGACCTCCTTTCCTTTTCTACGTAAATTTATTTTGTTCAGGGTTCTGCTCATATGGGTTGGGTTCTTACTGATGGGCGTGGCGTCAGTACTCTGCATCCCATGGGGACCGGGTCCCCCACCATTGACGCCTAAGAACGTGACGGAGGTGGGCGGCGGCAGAGTGGTCCTTTTATGTTGACGATGATAAACTTAAAATGACCATTAGTGTTGCCGTTGCATGTAATTATGTTGAGTCATCATCATCATCATCATCAGCCTATTAATTTCCCCACTGCTGGGGCACAGGCCTTCCCTATGGATGGAATAGGGAGATTGGGCCATGACCCACCACGCGGGCTCAGTGCGGATTGGTGGGTGCTAAAGACTGCAGATTGTAGATTTTATAGGTCAGAGGAGCTGAATAAAATACGAAATAGTGACGAATGATACCTATATTCTGTGAAATATATTTTTACTAGAAAGCTGATACGACTGACTCCTAGCACAGCAGAAAACAAAGTGAAGCAAGTTTATAAGTGAAGAGAATGCGTGAATGATCGAATGAGTGAGGGTTGAACGAACGAATGATGTATTTGAGTTAAGACTGAATGAACAAGTATACTTTGGCATTACCTAGTCATGTTACTTTCTTTTTATTTCAAAAGGAATACAAATTATAATATATATATATATATATATAGATTATTTTTTGCCAATTTAAAATCAATATAAATTCAACACAGATGCAGCCGGGATCAACGGCTTAACGTGCCTTCCGACGCACGGAGGAGCGCGAGATAGTAATTTTTGGTCACCCATCCAATGACCGACCACTGCGAAAGTTGCTTAACTTCAACGATCGCAGTCAAACGCGCTAACCACTTGCGCTATCGAGCTTCTCATTATGTTGAGTAATGAGTTCTGAAATTCCGTGTTTTTGACGTGATCTTATTATGTTTCCGTCCAGGGCTCTGCTACTATGGGGCGGGTTCTTACTGACGGAACTAAATATCCCTTGGGGTCCGGGTCCTCCACCATTAGCGCCTATGAACGCGACGGAGGCGGGCGGCGGCAGAGTGGTCCTTTTATGTCGACGATGATAAACTTGAAATGACCATTAGTGTTGCCGTTGCATGTAATTATGTTGTAATGAGTTCAATTCTGTGTTTTTGACGTGATCTCATTTTGTTTCCGTCCAGAGCTTTACTACTTTGGGGCGGGTTCTTACTGACGGGCGTGGCGTCAGTACTCTGCATCCCGTGGGGTCCGGGTCCTCCACCATTAGCGCCTATGAACGCAACGGAGGCGGGCGGCGGCTGCCCGGCGGCGCAGCAGCCCTGGTGCGAATACTCCCGTGGGCTGACCCTCACGCAGTTCTTGCTGGCGTATGCGTGTGTATCGGTGGGCTACTCACTTGGTGTGACGCTCATACAGACGATATTCTCGAAGGTGCTGGGGCCGAGGCCGCAGGTTTGTATTTAATATAAATGTTTATTTTCAACAGCTTGATTTTTGTTTCTAATAGGATTTGGTATTAAAAAAAGATTGAGTCGACCTGGGTATCAGGCAATATTATAAAAACAAATTTGTTTTTGTTGATATCCAGCGTCAGTGCACACCAGGGCTTGAAATCGGTTTCTAAAATACCGGTAAATAAAGGTTAATACCGGTTTTTAGTAACGGTTTCGTTCGGAGCGCGTCCGAAATGAAAGCGGTACCTATAACCTTAATAAACCGGTTTAATCCAGAGCGACACGTGCACGCGTCGGCATCGCTTGAAGTTTGTTTTGTTTGAACTAATCAAGTCACAACTTTTTAATGCTCAGAGATTGATGCATTTATTGACATGTTTTCTAGCGTCTAGTGAGTCAAGTTATTCATTTATTATCGATGCCGTCAGAAAGAGCGAAATGAAACCCCTTAAAAACCGCTAAATTGATTCAAAACCTATTTGTTTTCGCTTTTTAGGAAAACCAGTTTTTTAAGGTTAAGGTAGAGCCAAACCTAAATAAAATGCTCCTAATGTACTTGACACTGATTTAGGTTTGAAAATTAACCGGTAAACAAGCTCTGGTGCACAATGCACTGACATAATGCTGAACTAGGCCCTTTACAGTGTAGCCGTGGATACGGAAAGTGGTGTCGATTCTGGCACGATTCTATAAACTTAGGACTGAATTTGGCATTGGTCTGTCCTTTTTTCTCTATAGCCAGGGATACACTGCTGTCAGGTGTAAGTTTGAGTTTGGGAAGTCATGCCGGAATCGACGCCAGTATAGTACATGTTAAGTTGTATTTATTGTATGTTGTCTGTCTCTTTTTATATAAGGCCCATTTGAGGCCAATTTGCTAAATCTTGTTTCAACTAAAACTAGCTTCAACTCATACAAATTTTGTCCAAACGTCAATGTCGTTAAGGCTGATTAAGGTTCTACTAAAATTGAGATTTAGCAAAATTGCTGCAAGCCGACCTTTATTGAACAGTTAAATTCCTTAAATAATATAAAATTCATAAGTCAAATAATTAATGTTTTTTTTAAATCGTTATTTATGTACCCTATTTACTGCTAAATACATGATTTGATTTGTTTATTAACAAGTGTGTTAATTTCCACAAGCACAAAATTCAAAATATTATAGATGAAATCCTTTATTTGTAAATTTTGTCAAAATGGAATTATCTAGTACCTATTATACAGGCTTGGCCTAGTTTAGGTACAAGTGTATTGTAACAGTACTATTTTATTGTATTGTTCGTTTTGAGTATAGTCGCTTTAATTAGGCATTAAGAAAACAATTGTTGTATCTAAAGAAATTATTAGTAGCAAAAATTCCACGTGGATCAAGTAGCAGACGGGACTCGAACCCGCATCCTTCGCTATCCCGGCGAATACACTAACTAACATAATACACTAACTAACTAACATTATGCTACCGCGGCTCTGATGGCCGTGCCGAATTTTTTCTATCCGCGCACTATCTTCGCATTGTCGATAACCCACAATGTCAAATGAATACCTTTACAGATATTAAACATTTGAAAAAAGAAATAGCTATTATAGTTATATTTTTTATTTTTTAAGCAAGAAACTGCTCAAAGTTTAAATTTAAAGGATCTACATTGCGAAGAGATGGCGCTGTCTCGCAGCTTAAGAAAGGCTAGATAGACTTCGACATAGCGATCAGGGCCGCTGTAATAATGTTGGGACAAATAAATAAATTTCTGATTTTTTTTTATTTTTTTTATGCAATAAAACTAGTTATTACGGGTTAATGCACGAAAACTTTATTTATTTATTGACGTTTCGTAGTCTTTTCTTTAGTTTTATTCTGACGACGTAGCCTGTAAAGACTACGAAACGTCAATAAATAAATAAAGTTTTCGTGCATTAACCCGTAAAAACTAGTTTTATTTTTTTAAGCATTTAACTGCTAGATGATTAAATCTAAAGAAAAATAAATAAAAACATAACTATAGTTGCTATTTCTTCTTTCAAATGTTTAATACTTGAAAAAGTATTCATTTGACATTGTGGGTTGCCTACAATGCGAAGAGATGGCGCTGCCTTGCAGCTTAAGGCTAGGAAAATTTCGACGCGGCGAAAAGGGCTGTGGTAGCATAATGGTCAGTGCATTCGCCCGGATTGCGAAGGGTGCGGGTTCGAGTCCCGTCCGCTGCCTGGTCTAGTGGTGGTGGTGTAAACTTTTCTTTAATTTTCTGATTATTATTATACCAGGGTGTATGGATGGGCGTGCTGACCGGCGCTGGATGCGTGTCACGCGCCCTTGGCCCCGTGTTCGTGGCCGCGGTATACGCGCGCCGCGGCCCCGACGCCACCTTCGGCATCACCGCGGCGCTCACATTCGCCGCGCTAGCTGCTCTCCGCTGCGTGTACAAGCGACTGCGGCCACCACCCCCACCCGCTATCGCTGCAAACGCGCCCGCGCAGGAACTCACCGCGCTCGTCAATGGTGACGCGGCCCCTGACAGCGAAGACGCGGAGAAAGGAAACGGCTCGGCCGTAAAGTCTTGACAATAACAGGACATCCTATACGCTGCAATCTCTAAAGAACTCGACACCACTTTCAGCATCACCGCGGCGTTAACATTCTCCGCGCTAGCTGCTGCTGCAGACGAATCCGCTCAGGAACTCACCGCGCTCATCAATAAAGACGCGGCTCCTGATACTGAAGACGCGGAGGAAGGAAACGGCTCGGCCGTGAAGTCTTGACAATAACAGGACATCCTATACGCTGCAATCTCTAAAGAACACGACACCACTTTCAGCATCACTGCGGCGTTAACATTCTCCGCGCTAGCGGCTCTCCGCTGCAGACGAATCCGCACAGGAACTCACCGCACTCATCAATAGAGACGCGGCTCCTGATACTGAAGACGCGGAGGAAGGAAACGGCCCTGCCGTAAAGTCTTGACAATAACAGGATATCCTATACGCTGCAATCTCTAAAGAACTCGACACCACTGTCAGCATCACCGCGGCGTTAACATTCTCCGCGCTAGCTGCTGCTGCAGACGAATCCGCTCAGGAACTCACCGCGCTCATCAATAAAGAAGCGGCTCCTGATACTGAAGACGCGGAGGAAGGAAACGGCTCGGCCGTGAAGTCTTGACAATAACAGGATATCCTATACGCTGCAATCTCTAAAGAACACGACACCACTTTCAACATCATTGCGGCGTTAACATTCTCCGCGCAAGCGGCTCTCCACTGCAGACGAATCCGCACAGGAACTCACCGCGCTCATCAATAGAGGCACGGCTCCTGATACTGAAGGCGCGGAGGAAGCAAACGGCTCGACCGTGAAGTCTTGACTATATCAGGACATCCTATACGCTGCAATCTCTAAAGAACTCGACACCACTTTCAGCATCACCGCGGCGTTAACATCTCCGCGCTAGCGGCTCTCCGCTGCAGACGAATCCGCACAGGAACTCACCGCGCTCATCAATAGAGGCACGGCTTCTGATACTGAAGACGCGGAGAAAGGAAACGGTTCAGCAGTGATATCTTGATGAAAAAATACCCACCCAGCAGTCGCAATTAACGCACCCCTAAAAGAACTCGCCGCGGTGTCAATGGAGACAGAGGCCTTTGTTACTGATAATGCAGAAAAAAAAATCGGTGGTGCAGTCTTTACTATTATAGAATATTCATCACGTCAACGCACCAAGCATTCTCCAGACTCGTCAATGCAGACGCTACACCTGATGCGGAAGATTTTGAAAGTGAAAATAGGTAGCTCAGGCAGGAGTGAATTCGTCACAATGATATTCGATATATATTCGGTTATTAACGCACCCTCACGCGCAAAAGAACACTCAAATATTACCAATGGAGATGCCCATTGATTCTGATATGATTATGATGCGGAGAGAGGGAAGAAGTGGAGATTGTGATGATACCTAAACTCGCTAACTTGTATACTTGGCGTTTGGGACCATAGCCGAATAACTAAATTCGCTAACTTGTATACCCACGTTTGGAACCAAACCCGAAGACCGAATTTGAAGGCGCTGAGCGGGAGTTTAGTGATTAGCCAATTTAGGAAAAGACAAAGCGATGACAAACTTTATAAGTTTAAAAAAATGTTAATAGTGAAGAAGTACCTATGTGGTGACTATGCGCTGTAGTCTAGAATTATGTGAACTTGGCAGTTTCGTTTAGATAAGGAAATTGTTCGAATCTATCGAAAAGTGATTGAAAGACGTTATTAAGTAAATACATAAGTAGTGGCGACATAAATGAATAAAAAAGATTGATAGATGATTATGTAAATTGAGTGAAAAATGACGAAAAACATTTTTACGATGACTTCATTTAAATAAACTCTAATGTTAGTACAGCAAAAATTTATACTTTGATGTTGGAGACGATCTCATTATCGCCAGTGGTACCGAAAATCAGAAGCAGGTTCCCAGTACGGACAAAGCATGTAGTTATCTATACCTTAACATACAGTTAGTACAGTACCCTTAGCATGAACTCCTAGCGAGAAAGTATTCGTAGGCAGCCATCGTCAAAATAAAGTATCTATGGAAGGACCTAGTATGATCTTTCATCTGGTAGTGGCACTGCCTAATTTTTCCATAGTAACTTTGACGATGGCGATACGAATCTTACTCTCTAGTTGTTCGTGATTGGGCTACCAGATCAACTCAACTGCAACTCTGAAAGTAAAGCTTCACATCCAAAAAAATATGTTAACTAGCTCTTCCGTGCTTCGGAAGGGATTTTAAAGCCGTGTGTCCAGGCTGCTAGTAGTGTCCGTCAAATCGCACTAGAGCCGCTTGGAAGGTCATGGATCGTTCTTCTTGGTGAGTGAGGTAAACCGTCACTTAGCATCAGGTGGGGTGGAGTCATTTTTCGGTACTATCTATAAAAAAACAACATATGTACTAACCTAAAAACTTTGCACTGGGCATCAGTTTGGATTCCTATGAACGGTGCTTTAAATAAGCTTTTTGTAAGTTTCGTTTACGTCCGTATTTTTTTTTGCCATTACCTTGTATACTTTCAGAAATTGTTTAGCTATATATAACTTTTATATGTGAAAACTTCTTATTGGCAAGTAGTTAACTAAATCAGATACCTTGTATTAAGAACTGCTGTAAGTTTTCCGAGGAAATAAAATAAAATAGGTAGCTAACACTATTTGGTTAAGTAAACTATTCGGGCAAGACCTGTTTCTCTGTCAGCACCCTATGCCTGTATTATTTCCCAATTTTGCCACCACTACAATTTCTTTCCTCAAATTTTATTAAAAATAGTTCTAAAATTAAGACGCTAGTTAATTGTTTGACTTAGATTAAATTGTTTTAATCCAAGGCTGACTGTGATCTAGTTATTTGCTCAGTATAATTATTTAAGACGGTAGATGTAGACTTTATTTGATTCTATAGTATAATCAATTATACTTAATTGTTTAAATAGAGCACATATTTAAATGATCATCAAAAGAAAAATAGTAATTGATCCTCAAAAAATACAATTGCAAAAATACTTTAAAATTGAAATACATGTTTTCATTTAAGAAATAATGAAGTAAAAATTACAACTTCGCGGTAGTGAGATAGAAGGAACTGAAATATTATGTTATTTCTATTGTAGCTACTTATTTGAGTTTTACTTAACAGTTGAAATTTTCATACATGATGTATTTATTTTGCCGCTGTAACAACAAATGCTAAAACCAGAATAAAATAAATATTTAATATTTTTGCTCATATACAGGATGTCACAAAAATACAAATAAGGCTTGAAGTGCGTTGAAGTACATCATATAAGGAAACTTCTCTAATTTTCTTAAAATATTTGAAGTTTTAACTATTTATAAAAACAACATAAATGATTAATAAAAGTATCGATATTTTTAAGACACGTCACTAGTTTTTATAAAAAGTTAAAACTTCATGCAAATATTTTAAGAAAATTAGAGAAGACTCCTTATTTGATGTACTTCAATGCCCTTCAAGCTTTATTTGTATTTTTGTAACACCCTGTATAGTATAGATAATAGTACGGAACCCTTCTTGCGCAAGTCCGACTCGCAATTGGCCTGTTTTTTGAGTGCTTAATTAAGATTTTAAGGCGTAACTTCTATTTTGAGTATGTTCTATAAAAAGAAAGTAATGTAATAATTATACACATAACTTAGAAACATACTTATTTTTGAATTGTAAGACAAATAAATGTATAATTGTAAGAACGAGAAATTGAATACTGCATATTTTTTGATATCGGATTTTTTTACGCTGAATATTTCCGTGACATTAAAATGAATGTTAATAAAATAAAAAATGTTTTTATTCGTCTAACGCAGGCAATTGTTTTTGAAGGCTATATTTATTGAAACTTCTTTATGTAGTATGTATGCCAATCATATTGTTCAGAAATATAGATTTATTAATTTAAATATATAAAGGTAATTCTACTTTTATTTACTATATTTTTTTAAAATTTGATTGCGAGGCAATAATTTTTTTTTTATATATAAAATAAGTATGCTCAAGACTGAATGTTAAACAAGGCATTGTAAGTACCTATGTATATAATGTCAGCTGGCAGTCACATATTTTTGTATAATGCTTTGTAAATAATTGTAATAGATATCATAATAATTAATTTTATAATTAAATTTTAAATAGTGTTTTAATTGTGTCATATTATGAATTTAAATAAATCGTTACGGGAATTTTGGTATATGTTGTTTTAACAAGCTATAGCAGTATATGTTCTTAACCCATTGCCCTTTCTTTAGCCCTATACTTATGGACAACCATTTGATGGCAAAGGCTGATCTTCATCATCAGCCTATTAATGTCCCCACTGATGGGGCACAGGCCTTCCCTATGGATGGAATAGGGAGCTTGGGCTATGACCCACCACGCGGGCCCAGTGCGTATTGGTGGGTGTTAACGACTGCATATGCAGCCGGGTCCAACGGCTTAACGTGCCTTCCGAAGCACGGAGGAGCTCGAGATAGTAAATTTTTGGTCACCCATCTAATGACCGACCACTGCGAAAGTTGCTTAACTTCAACGTTTGCAGCCGAACGCGCTAACCACTTGCGCCATCGAGCTGCTCATCTAGCTGGTCTAAATTTTAGTTGAAATTCAACAAAATTTTGGGCCCTTGATTAATTTTATGAAAAATAAGTAACAACAAAGCAGTTTAATACACTTATATTAAAATAATATTTTACAGTTATTAACAATAACACATTTATCACAGTCATATAAAAGTCTAAACAACTTGCACCATTACTTAAGTCCCAAGCTTTAATACTTATTACTTAGACTTAAGACTAAAGACTTTAAGACTTTTACTTATTAATTTAAGTGATACAACATAACTAATTTAAGTACTGGATGCTTATATATTAAATCGCTAAACAGTGTTGAGCAAAATCTGTGATCCCAAGGCAGTCTTTGTCACGCTCTAGATCTCGCTGACTCTTCAGATGAGGCTTGCGGTGGCCAGTACCCTTAGTACGAGTTTTATAATTACGAAAATTATGATAATTTTCGTGAGCTCGCACTCGTACTAAGGGTACTGATTTTATCGTTTTCGTTTCAATACAAATAAACAGTGTTTAAATTCTATCATAAAATCATTTGCGTCTTCTTAAACTTTAAGTACCTATATTTGGTTACTTTAAACCAAAATGGACATAGCAACATAATTTACAATTACGAAAACTATGATAGTTTTCGTGAGCTCAAGCTTGTACTAAGGGTACAGGTGTGTGTTTTAAAATCTAGCGCTCCGAACAATTACGACAAGCACCTCCCCTCCTCCCTAGAATAAGTAAATCAAATCGAATTGTAAGACAGTAACTAACGCCGTATACAGAAAGAAAGCCGAAAGTCGATCAGCGCTTATCGGCGCCGATCCTTACTACATAAAGGAAGCCGATTAAAGCAGATCAAGCAAAATGTCGGACTCATCGGACGATGATTTGGTTTTGTTAGAAAATGTGTATTTAAAAATGCTATACATCCTATAAATAGAGAAAGGAAACGTTTCGGAAAATACCATAATTTATTTGTAAAAAAATTGAAATTTGATGATCAAAGATTTTATACATATACAAGAATGACTCAAGAAACA